ACTTCCTACAGGGCTTTCATAAATGATTCTAATAGCGTAGTTGGTCATGGAATTAAAAAATCCTGCTTTGCTGAAATTATGCCCGTGATTATGCATCATTATGACAGTTCTCACTTGTCACGTTAATGTCTAATGTCGTTTGTAACCTGTCACTTAAAGTCGTCGTCTTTATTGTTTTAATGTTTTTCAAGTGATCAATTCTCGTTGATCCAAGCTCAAAATAACGAAACAGTCATTTTCAGAACTCTTGGTGGTTGCGTACGAAAATTTTGTTTTTGTGCTAGGAAGCGAAGACTGTGAAAATGGTTTATTCTGTTGAACAAGACACTTTCATCCTTATGGGACCTCGTAAACGAAGAGTGTGTGTATTCTGTAACCACTTCTAAGCAATTAATAATTCAAGAAACATCGTTAAAGGCTCACATTAGAAATGTAATCAACAGATTTGTTCGAACTGGCAGTATCAACAAAGAGAAATGTCGTGGAAGACTTCATCTGAGGAAATTGTTGATGATTTAAGACGACTTGAGCAGAATTGAACAACTGAACAAACTACACGTTTTTGTCTTTAACTAATCTGTCATTGTACATTAAACGTGCATTTGTGAAAACCATGAAAGATGATAATTTGTTAAGTGTCCGAATCAAAGGTAAATAATATAATTGTTGTTTGTCAGTTGTTACAGCGCAATGGAATAGAAATACTTACCAATACTAGAGAACCAAGATCTTCAGTAGTCAAGATTATCGTGCCATTGAATTAATTAGTTGTTCTTCAAAATATTAAACATTTTTGAAGAGGTAAGTGTTTCCTTCAGATTTTTTAACGGTAATATTTTTGAATACCACAATTTTTTTTTATTGTATTTATATGCTGTTTGCTAGTTACCACGGTTGGATTCTATATTGTTTATACAAAATTAACCAAATTTTTGTTATCCGTAAAAATTGAAGCTGTCACTTCTGTAGTCCTCTCTTTGTGTTTTACCTACTACAATAATTTCAAAGAAGTTACATTAACAAAATTTTTAAGTGACTCTCTTTTTTTTGAGAGAATATAACCAGTGGCGTAGCTAACTTTCACTGCGCCCCCTCGGAATTTATAGTAAGCGCCCCCATACACCAAATTTAAAAAGTAGTACTCGTTTGGACATATTAAAAAAATATATCGGTTACGTTACGGTCTGCGCATTGCGGGGTCTGCGGGGGTGCTATTTATGCCACTGAATATAGCATATTACATATTTTTCTAAAACCTATCGTTTTCCCCCAAAGTCACAATTTTATATCGTAAAGTGAACATAAAATTTTAAGTCATATTTTTTCTACTCATAATCCTGAACTTTTTGTTTACAGTGCTTTGCGCAAAAAAAAAAAACTCATTGTCTGTTTGTATAATTTTTCCGCAGGCTTAATTATTTCTTTGTTCTGCGAAAACTGGCAAGTGCTAGTTTTCGAAAACTTTGTGTTATCATTCATTTTGATAACTGAAAATAACGGAAATTGTAAATTAGCAACCGTATGTTCAGTTCTAAAAATATGTATACTAAACTCACTTGACATACGCCTATATTGTAAGCTTTATTTGCTCTAAAAAATACTACCCTTTTAAAAACATATCTCACATGGTAATTTATTATAGAAAAATAAGTATTTTACAATTAAGCTCCGCCCCTCGGCTTACGACGAATAAAAGAATTATCACAATTGTAATAGGGCGGGCGGGCGGGGTTTATATTTTGCCTTTTTTTCTTAATATACATAGCCATCTTACAAGAAACTTAAAACATGATTAAATGGTTTTTGCCCAGAAATATGGATTTTGCAATTATGGGGCAAAATCGATATTTCCTTATACAATTTTTCCATTTTAAACACATTTTAAGTTTCATGTTACGAAAAAAAGTCTATACATATTAAAACAAAAAGGCAAAATATAAGCCCACCCACCCGCCCTATCTCGATTGTGATGAATTTTTTTTTTTTTCGCCGTGAACCAAGGGGACGGAGCTTAACTGCAAAGTACTTATTTCTTTACAAGAAACTAAAAGCATGTTTTTAAGTACCGTATTGTTCAAAGAATACTATATAAATTAAGAAAAAAAAAATATAAACCCCGTCCACCTACCCCATCTCAATTGTGATGATTTTTTTATTCTAAGAAACTTAAAACACATTTAAAATGGTAAATTTTTGTAAGGAAAATTGGATTTTGGAATTAGGCTCCGCCCCTAGGTCTGCCAACGAAAGAAAACTTCATTACTACTTAGATCAGGCCTAAATGTTTGGCTTTAATTTTTTCTTAATATACGTAGTATTCTTTGAATAACACGCTACTCAAAAAATGCCTTACATGGTAATTTCTTGTAAAGAAACAATAAGAATTTTGCATTTAAATTCCGCTCCTTTGGTTCTCGACGATTAAAAAAAATCATCACAATTGAGATAGGGTGGGTGGGCGGGGCTTATATTTTTCTTTTTTTCGTAGAATGTGTAGACTTATTTTGACAACAAGAAACTTAATCAACACTTTTTGAGCAATCAACTTAAATCCTCTATTTTTCTTCTACAACCCCTTTAAGTACGGCAAAAGTTGAATACCAAAGTTACTATCAACGGCAACGTGGCAACGGAGTTTATAAATGACAATTTTCAGCTCTAAAAGGAACGTAAGGGGAACTTCAACGTCAACAGCAAGGTTATAAATCCCACGGCTAACGTCAGCAAAAAAAGATGTACAACTGGGGTAGTTCCAAATCTGACAAAAATCTACGATGAATTTTAGTCTAACGTGTCTAAGATTCTTCATGTGAAAGGAGCTTTTCGAAATTAAAATTGATAAAATTGTGCTTTAGGTCCACAATGATCTAAGCGCGACTAAACAAACTTTCCATTTTGTCAATTGAAAAAGAGAGGAAAGTAAAGTTTGATAACGTCATAGAATTTTTTGCCAAAGTAAAGACCCGTAAGAACGTTTAGTATTAGTTGTTTAACTATAATATATAGGTATGTTCCCTCCCAATGTACATAGTATTTACAGTGCTTCAAACGAAATTTCAAAGATACGAGTAAGTACCAAAAAACGTATAATTAAATAGTTATTTATTACTTTTTAATACTATGGATATTCTTTAGTATTTTAAAAGATTCATTCTAACTCTAGAATTTTCGCTTCTGGATTCACCAAGTAGTCATATTTGTACGTGTCAAAAAGATTTACTAATTGTTTTATGAATTTCTGATGTAACTCGTCAATTTCTTTTTGAGTTGGATTTTCGACCCTAGCAACATCTATCGGTTGTCCCACTAAAAAAAAAAAATAAATAAATAAAAGTACTTTAACATAGCAGCCTACACCAACTTACCAACAATGAAAAGTGGTTTTCGTCGTGGAATCAATCCAAAAGACGTCTGAAAAAATCCACTTCCAAGAGGCAAAGCAACAGTAAAACGGAATAGTTTTTTGACAAATAGCTGAAACCTACATATTAAAGGATTTTGAACTTGATCAAACAGGTCTACTTCTCCGAATGTAAAAACTGGTACCAAAGATGCCCCAGTTTTCAAAGCTAGTTTAACAAAGCCTTTTCTGTTTTTAAGCACTAGTCTATATTGCCCTGGTCGTGCGTATATTGCTTCAGCTGCTCCACCAGGATACAAAATAACTCCATGTCCTCCTTCGGGTTTAGTTAATACGTGAGTCAAAGATTTAACCGAGCAAGAAATCCATCCTTTACCCAGGCCTATTTCTCTGGAAATAGGTAACCTGAAGTACATATCCAGTCCTGCAATTTTCATTCTCAGTTCTGGATATAGTTTTTGCAATATATTTCCTGGACATAGTAACGATGAGAACGGAGCGCAAGGTATTACACCATGAGGGAAGCAACAAAAAAGAAAATTTTTGTTTGGATTTAGTTTAAAACCTGGCACTAGGACGGTACGTGTTGGGAAGTAATTCCGTAAATGCCGCCACCAACTCCATTTTTGCATCCAATCGGAGGTTCGCCCGCCATTTTCACAAGTTTTTCTGTCCAAGTATACCCAGCTTATGTATACTAAGGTTAGCCACCAAAACCGTGTAAACAATAGATATACACCAAACAGTGCACCTAAGTACCCTCCATAAGAAAACGTAGCGAAATATGCCGCAGCAGCCAAAGCTTCTTTCCGTCGGGTTAAAGGTTCAGTTAAGGGAATTAACTCAATTCCTAATATTTGCTGCAAAACAGCCATAGTATTAGTTTATTTGATTTTATTTGTGTTTCTGAGGGCTTGATTATTTTAATTTTGCTATACATATACCCCAAATTAATAACGTAGTTTAAAATATATCTCAGGACAACTTAACGTTAGTTTTACGAAAGGCTGACAACTATTTATAATTGTGCTTACCATTGTCATAAGCAATTAAAAGAAATATACTTTTCTAGGACTTCACGTTAACGCGGTACTTTACTGTCGGGTTCACCGCACTTAAATGATGTTGAAGAATGAGATACTACACGTTTTTGTCTTTAACTAATTTGTCATAGTACATTATAAAGGTAGTTTGGCTTGAGCTGCTTCAGTTAAAAAGTTGTACTAGGTGTATGTCAAGTAAATTTAGTATGCACCATTATCAGAATTTGAGTGTTTTAAATGATGTGACGTAAGTATTTAAAACTATGCTAATTGTTGTAGACTGCCTTATTTATTTGGAGCATTGTTTTATATTTATCAACATGGAAAAAGTCTAGAGTCACATTTATACTAATTACACGACTTAAGAAAGATACACAGTATCCCTATCCGTGACTAGAATCGTACTTGATTTTTTTTTATGTGGCTACTCGTGTGCTTTGTTAAATGCCCATGATAAATACTGGTTGACTTGAACTTGTACGTAAATGAACTTGGTACTGACATTGTTTCAAACAAAATTTCAAAGATAGATACTAAAAATCATATAATATATTTATTATGTTTTCAATACTCTATTCTTTAGTATTTTAACAGGTTCATTCTAACTCTAGAATTTTCGCTTCTGGATCCACCAAGTAGTCATATTTGTATGTGTCAAACAAATTTACTAATTGTTTTATGAATTTCTGATGCAACTCGTCAGTTAAAGGGATTAATTCCATTCCCAATATTTGCTGCAAAAGAGCTATACATTAATAAATTCGTGTGGTTTTATTTAGTTTTTCAGAGAAGGTGGCTATTCTAATTTTAAAGAAAATTCTAGCGTCCTTTTCTGTGTTCTTTCCTTGTCGTAATCATGAATAAATCCTTAATGACGCACTGAAAGTTGTTGACTTTAGTTCAGACAGTTATTATCTAGTAGATAACTACGTCTAGATAACGAACACTAAAAATTCATTTCTAGTATCAGTGTCGCAAAAAAATACATCCTGTTGTTTATGTCATGACAAAGCAAAAAAATAAACAAACACCCAAACATCAAATCGTTTCTCCTAAATTTTGTCCTCCAGCAGGTTGTAACTCTTCTATTACTAGACACATCAAAATTACTGTAAAAGTTAAATTTAACGAGATGTAACGCCTGTCTCTAATATTACAAATATCTATGACTATACATAATTTTATTTCAACAAATCCTTTCGTAATCCCACTCCAGACACGACTCAAAGTTGTAAACCACTGGTTTTCAAGATGCAGTGCATAAGATAATAATTATTGATGTTATCTACAATTTTACTTACCATTTTTTTCGTAATCAAGACAGATACGTTGACTTCGGACTTCAAGTTGATATTGTGGGATTTTATTTCTGGGTTTAGCGTTTTTAAAAGTGTTGAACACTGGGTCATGTACGTTTATTCCTTTATTACTCAATTTGTTGTTGTACATTCAATGTGCATTTACGAAAACGATAAAAGAGATTAATTTATTTATCCGGACCAATGGTAAATACATATGTTAATTGCTGTTTACTTCACTTCTTACTTGACTTGACATAAACAAATTGTTTTGTAAAGAAGAAAGAAATCAAGTAGTTGTTCTCATTAACGAATCCAAATTTTGCAGTTTTCGTAATTTCTGCTGGATTTCGAGTTTATTTTTGACCATCTTCTAATTTAACTGGAAGATTTGTAAAACACAACTTTATTTCTTCATGTAATAAACAAACCAACAATTTTAGTAGTACACTTGGAAATATATATCATAGCTTACATTATTACCAAAGAGTCGTCATCCGGTTTTTCCAAAAACTTGTCCTTGTGTAAATCAAACAAATCCTTCAGTTCTTGGACAAATTTCGCATGCAGGCTGTCAATTTCTTCATTCGTTGGATTCTCTACCTTTTCAACCTCGATCGCCTTCCCCACTAAATGAACCCAACGTTAATAAAAATACAACTGTCAACGGTACCTTTCTTGGAACCAACCCATAACGAAAAAGGAACCCCGTTCCGTAAAAAATGACAGGTGCAATCCCGACATACTTCCTTATAAACTCTTGAATAGATCTTAATTTTTCGCATATAACTTGTTCAAAAAGGTCTGGTTCACCGAACGCTATAACCAGTACTAACGGGGATCCATGTCTTAAAGCCATCTTAATAAACCCCTTTCGCTCTTTTATGAGAAAAGTATACTTCTGAGGACGACCATAATACGCTTCCATTGCTCCTCCAGGGCTTAGAACCACTATCCTGCCACCTTCTGGTCTACTCAGTATATAATTAAGCGATTTGGCTGTACTCGATGTTAACCCCATCCCCATAATGACCTCCCTCCAGAAGGGGGTGAAGAGAAGAATGCGCAAAATAACTAAGTTGTACTTGGAATTGAGGATAGAAGTGCTGAAAATCGCTCACACCACTCGTGAGCCCAATATAGACGGCATTTGGTATAATTCCATGTGGGAAAAAACAGAAAAGGTAGTTAATAATGTATTTTAAAATATAATACGAGTGTGGCGATTAAAATTAAAAAAGTTTTTTCCACCAACTATGGACTTCCTGTTGAAGAAAATGACAATGACAATGACAACTTTCAAACAAGAAATAATTTTAAAATTTTTATCTAAAAATTTGTATTTACAAAATACAAAATCTATTCCTATTTTACGTGAAAGATGTACCGTATGAGTCATAAAATCTTTCCCCTAGGTTAGCAATAAACATAAAAGAGTTGATTAATCTATACTATTTATAGAAAAAAATCTTGTTCAACTTTTTATGATTTTTAAGTTTCTACTGTATAGGTATTTAACTTGTGAAATACATACCTGCTTATATAAACGCAGTATTCTAATGAACAGACAAATTTTCAGATTGATAAAATCAGCACAAACTGTAACCACTTGTATATTGCTACAAATACAGCAACTAAACTAAATGTAAAATTTTCAGTTGCCAACTTATTTTATTAGGATCCTATGACCAATCACTGTGTAGACCAAAGGTAAATAAAATCTGCATTTCTGTGAAAATTAGCTAAACAATTTCTAGTAAAAGCATCTTTTGAATCATAGCAGTTGGCCTTTTCACTTTAATGCCTTTATTTATGAGTGATGGCGTTAAGCTCTTTAGGCCTATACCTGCTCTTATCCCCAATAAACCAGAAAATTACTCAGCTTGAAAAATATTTCTGAATCTATTTTTTCGGCATGTGTTTTAGAGTTTATTTATTATCCGATTTTGATTTTTCAAAAACATACCTCCTCCAGAGTAAATTTCCTACAGATGCCTGTAAGTAAAATTTTGAAATTTTCCTTACAAGTCGTAAATAATAAAAACACTCAAAATTTCAGGATTTGTAAAGCTTAAAAAGTATGTTCAAATATAGTTTTTTGAAAAAACTAAAAAGCAGATCTATAGAGTTTTTTCCGTAGATTATTGTTATGATTGGACCAATGGTTTTCCGTAAAACACGTGCCCCGTTTTACATTAATTTCCCTATGCCGAAATCTACTTCAGCTCCCCCTTAAATGATGTTGAAGAATAAGGTACTACACTTGAACAATGGGTCCAAAGTATTGACGAAAGAATGTTACAGAACATTTTTGAAATTAAAAAGAGAGTGAACATGTGCCTTGAACAAAATAATGAACATTTTCAACATTTACTGTGATGTTTAACCGCAATAAATTTGTTTTTTTTTATCGTAACGAATTAGTTTTATTTTTTAAAAACATAAGAAGCATTTAGGCAACCAGTTATACACATGTGTGTCAATTTATATGTAGTATATAATATAGGAGTAATATGTATAAAATAATATAATTTTATTATCCTTTATAAATGACGACGTTCAAAATTTCAGGTCAGGTCAGGTAACGTCAAGTCAAAAAAATTAACTCTTTTTTGTACCATGCTGTTAGATACCTGAAGCCTAATTAATCCGACGCGAGGTTCAGGTACTGGTTTGCCGCTTTACGTGCAAGAATCCGTTCTCTAGTAATTACATTTTTTGTCGCCTTTTTTTGTCGCATTTTTTGTGGCCTTATTTGAGATAATTTATTGTAGCTCTCTTTATCCTTTTTCTGTGGCCCTTTTTGCGTTGTATAGGCTTTTTGCGGTCGTATTTTAATTTTGTTTTTTTCTCGCCGGGTTTTTATTTTTTTCTGGATCGTTTTTTGTATCTTTTGTCTCTCTTTCATTACCCTTATTTTTGTCGCTTTTCAGTACCCTATTTTTTATTGTCTTGTTTCATCTTTTTTGTCGCATTTTTTGTTACGTTTTTTTTATGCAGGTTTTTTGATAACTTTTTGACGCTTTTTTGTGGTCTTTTGTGCTTTTCTATGTTCTTTTTTTGTTCCCTATTTTTTATTGTTCATTCTCATTATTTTGTTGTGTTTTTATCACGTTTTTTCAACTACATTTTGGCGCTTTTTTGTTGTCTTGTTGTTTCTTGTAACTATGTTGCATTTATTATGGCCTTTTTTAAGTGTTTCTGTGTTGGTTAATATCTGCTTCATTGTCTCATTTTTTCATGTTGTATTTGTGCCTTTGCCAGAGTTTCTTTTTGTTTTTTTTTACATTTCTTTGTCGACTTGTTTTGGTGCTTTTACGTTTTTTGGCCATTATTTAAAATAGTAATAAGTAGTTTATTCTATGCTTGAGCCTTTTTACGGGTAATTAGTTTTTGTAGCCTTTTTTATCGCATTTTTTGAAATCTTTTGTCGCTTTCTTTAGCCTTTCTTTATTCCCTTTTTTGTCGCCTTTTTGCGGTTTTGATCCTTTTTATTATATCCTTTTTATAGTCTTACTTCAGCTTTTTGTTGTTCTTTTTCTCATTTGGTTTATGGTTCTTTCTCACGCGTTTTTTGTAGAATTTTTTCTCCCTCTTTCATCAACTTTGTTTTTGTCACGTTTTTGATCCCCTATTTCTTGTTGTTTGACATTTGTTGTGGTCTTTCTTGTGTTTTTTTCTCGCTATTTGTGCGTCTTATTTTTTTTTATTTTACTCCCGTGCCATTTACAGTTAATTATAATTTTTTCGCATTTGTTTTTTTTTTGAGAATTCTGTTGTCGTCTTAATTTTGCTTTTATTGTCTCCTTTTTATAATAATCCTTTTTTTTTCGTGTTGTTTTTGTTCCTTTTTTACTTTCTTTTTGTCTCTTTTTGTCGCTTTTTTTTAAGATTTTTTTTTTCGTTTTCTTTCCTTATTTTAATATTTTTCTGTGGCCTTTTTGGTCTCTTTTTGTGGTTACCTTTTCCGCTTTTTAACGCCTTTTTTAACTATTTTCCACTTTCCTTTTGATCTTTTTCCCGCGCATCTTTCGTAGCCTCCGTCTCTCATAATTGTTTTCACGATTTTTAAATTGCCATTTTTACTTCTCGAGCGTAAACTAAGGTAATCGAGTGAATCGGACGAATTGCCATTTTTATATATTCTCGACGTTTCATGGCCCCTAGAGTACAAAAAAAAATAGTCTCCAGTTTCCGTTTGTCTGTCTGTCTGCCTGTCTGGTGTCTGTATCCATTTTTATTAGGTAATTTCCGAAACTGCTGGACCGAGTGATATCAAATGTTGTCTGTATATTAGAAATACCATATAAATGGTTAGTTACTAACCGAAATTCTGCTAATCATTTCCACCAAAAATTTGATGACCTCATTTCAAAACATTCAATGTTTATTTGATTTAACTGTTATACAAAAAAAAAAGAGTGCGTCTACCCAGGGACGCACGGATGGAGTTTTAACTCGTTGTCAATTTACACATAAATTAGACATGTATACGCGGCCGAGTCATTAATTGTCTCTTAAAAAATAACCAAAAATATGTTGCATTTGTATTTTTATTTTTTAATTGTTGTTTATTATAAAATATACTTTTTTTATTTATTTATCATATACAGTATGTTCCCGGATTTAGTTCACAAGAGGAAAAAAAGCTGTATTTTCTATTTTACAAAAAAATGACATAAACCTTCTCGGGGCTTCCATTTCTTTTTGTTTTAAGAAGGTGAAACCTCACGAAAAAGTAAAATTCTGCAAAATCAAATTTTATCATTTTTCAGAAAAGCGGGGGAAGTTCTGTCGAAACAACTTTCGACCAATTTCTTGTTACTTATTTTTTATTTTTCTTTTTTCCGGTTTTTATTTTGTTATACTTTATCGTCTCATTTTAGTCGTGTTTTTTTCGTCTCGTTTTTCTGGCTTTTATTCGCCTTTTTTGTTATTGTCTTTTCTTTTTAACATTTTTTCCGGCGACTTCCGTTTGACTTTGATTTATTAAATACGACACTGCTAATATAAAACTTTAAAAATCTGGATGTCTACTCGGGCAAAATATTAAAGAGTCTTTATAAACCATGTGGAAAGTATTTTATTTTATAAAAGTTAAGTAGTATTTACTATGCAACATTTTCAGATGACGTCACCAAATTATTGGGTGAGGATGATTAGACAGATTTTGGTTAGAATTCTTAAAATACAAAATTTCACAACCACCAGTGTAGTTTCGGAGATTATGTGTCGAATAAAATAGGCAACAAACCAGAGACAGATGATAAACGACAACAGAGGATAACGAGTGCATGAAACGTCAAGAAAATATGAAAGTGCCACTACAATACTTTCCCAGCTTACGCTCTGGAAATTATTACGGCTTTTACGAGCAAATAAAAAGTCTAGTCTACTTTTTTTAAATGCTTTATTAACATAACCTATTAATACAGCACATCTTAACTTAAAGTAATATCTACATGAACACAAAAACACAAATAAATTAATCACCTGGTTTGATTCCACCAATCTACGTCTCAATTAATATTGCCAAAAAATAAATTAACTTCATAAACCACACAACTATGGTAGCAATATAAACAAATAGGTACCTACATATATAAAAAAAAAAATCTTATTAAGTACTGTTCCAAGTTAGAAATGTTATAAAAAGTTATGTACGTTTTCTACAATGCGCGATGTTTTAGAATAAAATGTTTAAATAAATTAGAAACCATCTCAGTATACTGACTTGTTAATGAAATGTACACACTAATAATTTAATAATCACATATGTTCAAGGTGGTTTGACTGTCACTGGATTGGTTTTAGTCGGTACCAAAGTACTTCTGTCCAAAATGGTTGGGCGCCACTGGATGGACCTCAGACGTCAGCATTTTCAGCTGAAACAACGAAAAATAGGGTTATGATTTTTAAAAACTATACAACCAAGTACATACCTTTGGGAAAGATTCTAGGACAGTTTGGACAGCAGCAGGCGTGCAAAATAAATTACTTAAAATAATATTATCTTCTTTGACCTTATGCTCCTTTAATACTGTTACGGCCTTACTGACCGTGTTGCCCGTGGACATAATCGGGTACATTAATAATACCTGTCACAAAAAAATTAGAACCTCATTTATACCTCGGTTGTAGTACTGACGTGTCGTTGAGCGATGTCCTCCGGAAACCTAGCATAAACCACCTTCGCTTCGTGCGTGTCGGCGTCCGACTCCACCAAGATCTTCCCTATCCTAATACTGCGACAACAGTCCCTCAACCCCTGCTCCATCGCCTCCCCGGACCGCACAATCGAAACCCCACAATTCCCAGACTTATACTTCAACCCGTCATAAGTAGCATTAGTAGGCGTTTTCACCTTGCAGTCAGTAAAAGGCAACTGATTTAGGCTTTCCTCAATAACCAGACGGATTAGTCGATCAGCCGAAAACTTAAAATCACTTCGAGACGTCTCCCTTAAGTAAACAAAGTCAGTCAAAGTCATTACACGAAATCAGCTAAACCTGTCACGGAGAATCGTTTGAAGCTCTTTAATTTGGTTATTGCAGTACAAGATTTTTAAGTTCTTGTACTGACTAATGTACTCAGCCCCATCAATCAAATCCAGTTCTACATTGCCCATGCTTTATTATTATGATGCTCTACACCACTGAAAGTGAGGTTAGGAAAGCGTGACACAGAGAATGCTGAAAGTAGAGATTATCCGAGTTTTGTGTCTAGTTAATGATGGAAATGGGTAAAAGCGGTACGGTTTACCTTTACTGATGAAAGTGTGTGTTGTGTGACGAAACGTTAGCAGGAAATGTGTGAAATGTGCACGGCAAGCGGAAAGTGAGGTTATATCTAGACGTCAAATACGGAAAAAGCAGTGGCGGCGCACTCGTTGGGGGTAATCAATCGATATTGTGACAATGGGCCGGACTCAGCGCACACGTTCCAGAAAAAAATCGTCCCAATTCGTCCAAAACATGGATCACGAGGAAACTCTAATTAATTTAAGGAAATTCTTGGCACGCAATGGTTGTAACGACGAAGTCGATTTGAAACTGCGCAATTTCCCACAAACGGGGAGAGGGGTGGCCACCACGAAGAACCTTCACGAAAATGACATTTTAATTAGAGTCCCTTATGACTTAATGATTACTTACACCACCCTCAAACGTCTGAATTTTTTACAAATTTTCACCCCCTCGAGTAAATTAACAATTCAAGATCTATTGACCACATTTCTAATCTTTGAACGCCACAAAAACGATTCTTTTTGGAGGGATTACATCACTTCTTTACCGTCCCACCCACCCTGGTTGCCCGCCCTCTTGTCCGAGCACCATTGTGAATTGCTTCCGGTTGATCTAAGATTAGCGGCGAAGAAATCACGGAGACTTCTGGAAGAGAGTTGGTCAAGAGTAAAAGGATCGATAAAGCAGGGTTGGACTTGCAGTTGCTGTGGTATGAAGGTGGATCGCGTGTTCGACTTGCATTCATTTACTTGGGGGTTTATTTTGGTCAATACCCGAGCCGTCTACGTCGACCCGGGGGTTGTCGGTGAGGGCGGCGGCGGCGTTTTATCAGATGAACCTTGTATGGCGCTTTGTCCATTCCTGGATATGTTTAATCACAGCGACAAGGCCAAATGTTCAGCTGAGTTGAAATACGAAGAAGGGAAGTTATTTTACCAGCTGACCACTCTGACGAGTTACAAGAAGTATGAGCAAGTGTTCATTTCGTATGGAGGTCATGATAACGTAAAGTTGTTGATGGAGTATGGGTTTTTTATTCCTGGAAATTGTAATGACTGTATTTCGATTCAAAGCGAGGAGGTTTTTAGAGTGCTAAGGTTAGGACTTGGCGAAGGACAGTATAGGTTTATTAATAGGCATGATTTGAATAAAGAGTTGTTTGTAGGTGAATCAGGGCCGTCTTTTAATTTAAAAGGGTTTCTTTTTGTAGCTTCAAGTAGTGCGAGTGAAGTGAAGGACTTTGCTTCTGTGGTCTATACGGACAGTTATCCAGAGGAGTTCTTGAAGAGTGAAATGAAAGATATGTGTCGTAAATTACTTTTGTGTGAAATGGCGAAGGTCGAGGAAAGTTTAAGGGGTTTAAAAGTGTTGAAAGTGAATTCTGTTATTATTGATTTTTTAAATTGTAGGCATGATTTTATAAAGAAACTTTGTGAAATGTTGTGATAATACATTTATTAACGTTTTTTCTGTTCATTTTGCATAAATCTTAATTTTAACGGCGTACTTAATCAAGTTGTTACCCACGACAGTCACGCTATTTATTGCAATCATTATAATATTCGTTTTTTAAGAAAAGTCGTGACAATACTTTAAATTTTAAACTTGTTTTAAATAATCACAGTAAGACCATTTTTTGGATTATCATAAGAATTTTTATCTTTGTTTTAACTCCAAAATATGTGGGAAAGTTCTAAAGGTAATTAGACTGAAATTCCCGTGCCCCTGAAGAACTAACACCAAACAGATATAGTTTATTAGATAAATTATAAAAATCGATTTTGCGAATTTATTTTATTTGTTGATAACCTCTAGAAGTTAAAATATTTTGTGGATTGTGGATAGGGGACCAAATGAAAGTGGATAAAACTAGCGTGAAAAAAAGCGTTGAAAGAGGGAGGAAAAAAAAAGGGTGCAGAAAAAGCAACAAAAAAAAAACAAAAAGAAGATGAAAAAGACAATAAAAAATCTGAAAAAAGGCTCCAAAAAATGCAAATAAAAATTATAATTACCTGTGAGAACGCTCGAGCCCACAATAACTACTTTTGTCTTAAAAAAAGCACAGAAGTGACCAGAAAAACAGTCATAAACGGCAACAAAAAAAATCTAGAAAAAACGCAAACAAAACAAAACGAAAAATCACGACAAGAGGAAGGGAAAACAAGGCGACAAAAAAGGGTCAAAAGAAAACTAAAAAGAAGGTGAAAAAAGAAGACACGGAAAAGTTGACCATCAAAAGGGCATAAAAAAAAACAATTATTTATACAAAAGCTCCGAGCGTAAAATAAACTAATATTATTTTACAAAAGCGTCAAATAAAACATAGAAAGGCGCCAAATGGAAGTTACCAAAAAAGAATGTTAAAAAGAAAAGACAATAAAAAAAATCATCAAAAAAGTCGAAGAAAAGGGAGAAAAACGAGACGAAAAAATGCGACTCAAGAAAGACAAAAACAAGGCACAAAAAATGAGAAAAAAAAATAAGAAAGAAGAAGAAGAAAAAACGCGACAGAAAAAACAGCACAAGAACGGGAAAAAAGTTGACAAACAAAAGCTAATGATATACCTGTAAAATGGCAGAGCGTAAAATAAAGTAAAAATCGTAATGATAAAAACGAGACGGACACGTACAAGAACAAAAAGGTAATAAAAAGATAACAAAAAATTGCATAAAAAAAAAGGCACTCTAAACATCGTGGAAATCAATAATGAGAGAAGGAGGCTACAAAAGACGCGTCGGAAAACGACTAAAAAGAAGATGGAAAAAAGTTAAAAAAAGCGTCAAAGAAAAGCAAAAAGGTACAAAAAATTGCTAGAAAAAGGCGATCAAAACACAAGCGAAAAACGGTATCCAAAAAAAAACAGACGAAAAAGGTCACAAAAAAGTGATAAAAAAGGGAAAACAAAGCTAAAAAAAAAGATCTCAAAAAGGCCACAAAAAATGCGGCAAAAAAGGCGGTAAAACAACAACTAATCACTTCTAAAAAAACTGTGAATAAATACCACAAAAAGCGCCAAAACAAGTCGACAAAAAAATGCGAAAAAGAGACATAAAGAAATGTAGAAAAACGCGACAAAAACAACGCAAAATAAGGATCAAAAGAAGAGACAATGAAAGCAGAAACAAGGGGACAAAAAATATCAAAAAACCATATACTTATATTAAAAAAGTGCCAAAAGCGACTACAAAAAAAAGTCGAAAAGCATGATAACGAGACGAACACGTACAACAACAAAAAAGGAAACAAAAGGTAATAAAAAGATAAAGAACAAAAAATTGCATAAAAAAGGCACTCAGAAGGTCGTGGAAAATAATGATGAGAGAAGGAGGTTACAAAATACACATCGGGAAATGTTAAAAAAAAAGGTGTAAGAAAGTTAAAAAAGGGGCCAAAAAAATATAAATGTAAAAAAATTGCTAGAAAAACAAAAGCGGACAAAGTAACCAAAAAAAAGAGACCAAAGAGGCAACAAAAAAGTGATAAAAAATGGAAAACAAAGCAAAAGAAATCTCAAAAAGGCCAAAAATACGACAAAAAAAGCCGGTAAAAAACTAATTACTTCTAAAAGAGCTCAAGCATACAATGAATTACTATTTTACAAAAACTGCTAATAAAGACCACAAAAAGCGCCAAAACAAGTGCACCAAAAATGCGAAAAAGGGCAAAAAAAAACGTTAAAAAACGCGACAAAAACAACACGAAAAAAGGGATCAAAAAAAGGAGACAATAAAAGCAGAAAGAAGGGAGAAAGAAAATATCAAGAAAACCACATAACAAATGCGACGAAAATAAAATTAATTGTAAATGGCCTGAAAATAAAAAATTATTTACAATAAACATGACCACAAAAAACGAAAAAAAGAATAAAAATTAGGAAACGAAAAAGGAGGAAAAAGTACAAGAAAGACCACAAAAAATGGGAAAAAATTTTTACAAAAAAATATAACAATAATTTTTTTTTTTAAAATCGGAAAAGATCGATACAAAACAAGATGAAATAAAGCAATAAAAAATAGGGGACCAAAAAAAATCGCAAAAAAGGTGATGAAAGAGGAAGAAAAAAAGGCTACAAAAAAAAACGAATTAAAAAACGAAAACAGGCGAAAATAAGGCTACAAAATGTTTAAAAAAAAGGCGACAAAAAAATGCAAAAAAAGGCGATAAGAAAAGGGATAAAGCAAGGCTAAAGAAAACGACAAAAATACGCCAAAAAAACGAAATCCATCTAAAAAGGCTCAAGCATAGAATAAACTATCACTATTTTCCAAAAATGACCGAAAAAGACCACAAAAAGGGTCAAAACAAGTCGACAAAAAAATACAAAAAACAGACAAAAAGAAACGGAAAACAAATAAAAAACACGACAAAACAACACGAAACAAAGATTAATAAAAGAGAAAATAAAAGCAGAATAAGCGAAAAAAAAAAACTCAAAAAAATCATAACAAATGCAACAAAAATATAACTAACTGTAAATGGCCCGAGAGTAAAATAAATTATTTACAAAAAAACAACAAGACAACAAAACGAGCGCAAAAAAGACAATTGAAAAAACAAGATAAAAACAAGACAAAAAGAGAACAAAAATAAACGGAAAATGGGAATAAAAATTAGAGAAAAGCAATGGACAAAAAAAAAAGCACAAGAAAGACTACAATAAAATGTCAAAACAAATTTACCGAAAAAAAGTAAAAAAATCGGAAAAAATCGGTACAAAGCAAGATGAAATAAAGCAATAAAAAATAGAAAACCAAAAAACGACAAAAACAAAGGTGATGAAAAAAGGAGAAAAAAGGCTACAGAAAAACGCATTAGAAAAAATCGAAAGTAAGCAAGAAAACAGATAACAAAAAGTTAAAATAAGGCGACAAAAAAGCTATGAAAAAAGACTACTAAAAAACGCAAAAAAGCGACAAGAAACTGGATAAAGTAAGAGTAAAGAAACCGACAAAAAAGATTTCAAAAAAAGGCACAAAAAATTCAACAAAAATAAAACGCAAAAACTAATTATCCGTAAAAAATGCTCGCATAGAATAAACTCAGTATTACTATTTTACAAGAAGGACCAAAAAAGACTGCAAAAAAGCGCCATAACAAGTCGACAAAAAAATGCAAAAAAATAGACAAAAGGAAATGGAAAAATAAAAAAACGCGAGAAAAACAAACCTGAAAACGATTGCAAAAAAGCGACAATAACAGCAGAAATAAGCCGACAAAAAAGAAACTCAAAAAAAATATAACAAATGCGAAAAATCTATAATTAACTGTAAATGGACCGAAAGTAAAATAAATGATTTGCAAAAAAGCATGGCAACAAATAAAGCACCAAAAAGTAGTTAAAAAGGGGTGATAAAAGCAAAACAAAAAAACTCAACAAAAAAAAAGGGAAAAAGGAATAAAATTAGGAAATAAAAAGGGCAAGAAAAGAAGCGGACAAAAAAATGTCAAAAAAATTTTACCAAAAAGAAGAACAAAAAAAGTAAAAGAAATCGAAAAAAATGGCTACAAAACGAGATGAAATAAAGAAAAATAAAATAGGGGACCAAAAAAACGGCAAAAAAAAGAATAAAGTGCCAAAAAAGATTAAAAAAGCACAAAAAATGCCACAAAAAAAGACAGTAAAAAACAAATTATCTGTAAAAAGGCTGAAGCATAGAATAAATTACTAGTATTTTAAATAATGGCCAAAAATACAAAAAAGCGCCAAAACAATTCGACAAAGACAGTACGAAAAAAACGAGACAATAAAAGACAAATCTCCAAAAAGGGCCATAAAAAATGCTACTAACATATTATAATAAATTGAAATGGCCCGAGCGTACTTGCAAAAAAGACAACAAAAAAAAGCACCAAAAAGTAGTTGAAAAAACGTGATAAAAATATAACAAAATAATGAAAAAGAACAATAAAAAGTAGGGAACAAAAAAAGATATAAAAAAAGTACCACAGACCACAAAAAAGTGACAAAAACATCATGAAACAAGATAATAAAAAATAGGGGACCAAAAGGTGACAAAAATTTAGGTAATGAACGAGAGAAAAAAAAAGTCTAGAACAAAACGCCTCACAAACAACAAAAATAGACGAGAAAAAAGACAATAACAAAAATTAAAATAAGGCGACACAGAAAGCTATAAAACGCAAAAAGTTCGACAACAAGAGGATAAAGAAAGACTCAAGAAAGCGACAAAAAACGATCTCAAAAAAGAGGATAAAATGATATAATCACCAGAAAACGGATTCTTGCGCGTAAGGCGGCAAACCAGCAATTGAACCTCGCGTCGGATCAATTTACATTCAGGTGGCTAACAGTACTATACAAAAAAAGGTTAAAAAAGACAACAAAAAAGCAACAAAAAGTTCCAAAAATGAGGTAAAAAAAACAACAGAAATCAATCAAAAACGACACAAACAAAAACAACAAAAACAAATAAAATACGAATACACTGATTTAGATCTTAAGTACTTTGTGTATTTTAGATACGATTTATACAGCAAAATTTTGAAATAACGTCACGAGCAGATAAAAAAAAATTGATTAGCGATTTATCAACGATCACTTTAAAACATTTTGTGGATTTCAGAACAGCCGGTTTTATTGTTTAATAGTTAAATTGATAAGTTTGGTGCACTTTTTTTTTCCAAAAATGTATAAATCGAGGTATAATATATAAAAATAAGGGCACACTAATAAATCATATCTACAGAAGTATGAAATTCAATTTTAGTAGGATTTGCTTACCAAAATTTTTAGATGACGCCATTAAAGTATTGGTGGGGTTAATCAGTCAAATTTTGGGTAGTGCTTCATCATCTTACACGTTATTGCTATAACACACCAAAAATTTGGGGGGAAATGAGAGTTCTAGTGTTCCACGCTCTAGAGAATATAAAACATCTAGGAAACCTGAAATTAACAATATGTCAAATGGACTTAATTTTACTCGGGAGTTCAAGGAGAGAAAATCAATTTTGAAGAAAATAGATTTTTTTAGAAAAAAAAGACTTTTATTGGTGTTTTTGATGCAGAACCCATATTTTTCCTCCCAATGTACATTTTTACCACTATTTCTTTTGTGTTAAAATTATAAACACCCGATTTGTAAGATTATTTAAAACCACCGACCTAATAAACAATAGATTTATTGATCTCCAACATGTACAATAGTATTTATACAGTAGTAAAACAATAAGTGTAAAGTGTGCATCTAATAAATCCAAAAATTGAAACTTCATCCGACCTCCAAACTACCCCCGGCATTCCTGAAACCAAAACACAAAAATCAAAACACCAAATAACAACCACCCTTACTACGATTTCAATAACAAAACCGCACCGCTGCGCCCACTTGTCCCGTCGAATTAAAACTACCCGAACAGAAGAATTTAATATAATCAACCCCTCGTGTTTTCAATCACATCAAGGGTGGCTCTGCGGATCACCGCGCGACTGAAGCGGGTGTGCATCCGAGGGGTGATTAGACGCGCTTGCACAGGTGTCCCTCGACGGTTCCAGTGGTCCCCGAGTTTCCCCTTGTCGATGTGGCCGCACCCCCGCATTTTTGGGACCGCAGACGGCGCGCGTGCATGCAGGAAATGTCACGGTTCGCGAAAATCGCGGAACGATTCTCGGGTGTTGTGTAATAATAATTTGTTTTGAATGGGTTTGTTAAGGGTGGTAATGGGGGTGTTGTGGTGATACCCACCGTTAATTAGTTTTGGATTGTCACTGTTGTGGTGGTTGTTGTTGTTGCTGCTGTTGTTGTTGTTGTTGTTGTTGTTGTTGTTCAGCAGCCACTTGTTCGGATATTTCTTTTTGTAGTTTGAGATGGTCGGCGAGGAAAATATCTCCTTGGGTTGGGCCTTCTTCTTCTTCGCTGGGTGGAGAACGCGGGGTCTTGTTCAGGGCTTTGTAGATTTCGGCTCGGTTTTCGAGGATTTCGCGGACGATGTCTGTAAAACGAACGAAAAATAATAGATGAAAACAATTTTTGAACATTTTTTTTAACCAAACTGGAATTTTTAGATTTTATTTTGAGTTGCCAATACGAAACATACCACATACTAAAGTATGTAGCGGAGGTTCTAGCTCACTTTGTGGGAGGAAAATATGATTTCGTACAATTACTCGGCTTTTGATCACATGATTCTGCGCATGTGTGGCTTAAGTACTCAGAAAAGTTAGGTTATAAATATAACCTTTTAATAATAACAATGAAAAATTCTGATTTAATTTAAATGTCACTAGCAACTACGTCAATTTCGACAACCGGAAGTACGGTGAGATGACGGTTCTACCAACTTCAAGCAAAATTTATGGATATTTGTTATCTTATTGGTATAACGTCAATTTTTTTTTTAATCGGGAAGCTAAATTTCAGGCCATATTGGAGGAAATTTTGACGAGGTTAAAGTGTTGTCAAATTCGTTTAAATGTAAAAGAACTTGAACGTCGTATTTATACGTAAAAATGAAATTTAATATTTTTTCCGATAAATAAATAAATAATAATAATAATAATTAAAAAACGTCAAATCTAGTTACTGCCAACGAATTGATATACTTTGACAAAGTAAAAAAAAATTCTAACAGTTTTATATTTATGTTAATTTTTATGAGGCATACAACCTCCGAAACTACTGGACCGATTGTTGTCAAATTATATGTGTATGTTAGAACTATCGTGTAGATGGTAAACGCTAACTAAAATTTGCCTAATCATCCCGACTCAACCCCTAACAATTTGAGGACATAATCTCAACTTCTCTTGGTAAACATCATTTAAATTTTATAAAATAACGTACTCCTATACATTTGGTTTATGAATTCGTCTTGATTTTTTACCTTAGACATCTAGATTTTCGCAAAAAAAATAAGAACTCTTACGTGTAGTAAACTCTGTGGCCGTGCCATAGACTAATAAATGTCCCTTTTTTCATTTCTCAAAATTATTAAATTTCTAAAAAAATTCTCGAATTTTGTTAAACATACACTAGAATACAAGAAAATTTAAAATTTTCGTAATATTTATTGTCTTCTCAGGTTTCAAATTTTTAAAATTTTCATTTAATTTACACTTAACTCATATTTTTTTTAATTTTAGAGCTTCACATTTCTGTGACATTCATATGTAAGATAAATATTTTAGAAAATTTAAGCTTTTCAAAATTTTCGTCTGTAATTAAAAAAACACTTTCGCCGTTAAAATAAACACAAAGTTCAACTGAATTCAAAGAAAATTTTGATCTTTAGTTAGCAGTCTTCAAAATCGTGAAGATGAAAATTTTTGAATTTTTTAAATATGAAGTATAACAGAAGAATTTACGAAAGAGTCAAATTTCCCTAACATTCGTATTCAACAGATAAATTATAAATTATGAGAAATGAGTGATTACGAAATTTTTCGATGAAATAAAAAAACTTTGAATTTTATAAGTTTTCAAAATATCTGAACATTTACATATTTTGGTTTTCATAGTCTAAGCATTGTTGTTTTTCAAATTTTCAAAATTGTCGAAATTCTCATAAAATTTTTAAATTGAAAAACCTTCTTTTAATTAATTTCTTTCACTTTTGGAGCTTCACAGTTTCGTAATATTTAAATGCAAAGGTTTCTAATCAATATTTCAGGAATCTTTGACTTTCAACATTTTCATCAAATTTGAAAAAAAAAACGCTTCCTTTTATGAGCAGCACAAAGTTCAAATTTGAAGAAAGGTCTTTTTTGTTTTCAAAATTATGATTCATAATTTTTTAAATTTTCGTAATATTTATTATCTTATAAATTTTGGGAAAATGCGATTTTCAAATTTTCAGAATTGCCGAAATTGTCACGTTTCAAATTTTTAAAATTTTTGATTAAATTTACACCAAACTCATAAGAAATGTTTTTAATTTTAGAGCTTCGCAATTCTGTGACATTCATATGTAAGACAAATATTTCAGAGAATTTAAGCTTTTCAAAATTTTCGTATGTAATTAAAAAAACACTTTCGCCGTTAAAATAAACACAAAGTTCAACTGAATTCAAAGAAAATTTTGATTTTTAGTTAGCAGTCTTCAAAATCGTGAAGATGAAAATTTTTGACTTTTTTAAATATGAAGTACAACAGAAGAATTTACGGAAGAGTCAAATTTCCCTAACATTCGTATTCAACAGATAAAATATAAATTTTGAGAAATGAGTGATTACGAAATTTTTCGATGAAATAAAAAAAACTTTGAATTTTATAAGTTTTCAAAATATCTGAACATTTACATATTTTGGTTTTCGTAGCCTAAGCATTATTGTTTTTCAAATTTTCAAAATTGTCGAAATTCTCATAAAATTTTTAAATTGAAAAATCTTCTTTTAATTAATTTCTTTCACTTTTGGAGCTTCACAGCTTCGTAATATTTAAATGCGAAGGTTTCTAATCAATATTTCAGGAATCTTTGACTTTCAAAATTTTCATCACAATTAAATAAAAACGCTTCCTTTTATGAGCAGCACAAAGTTCAAATTTGAAGAAAGGTCTTTTTTGTTTTCAAAATTATGATTCTTGATTTTTAAATGTTTTGAAATTTTTAAAGTACGCGTAAGAGAAGTTTTGAAAATACTTGAATACTTGCATATTTCGCCTTTCGTAGCCTAAGCATTATTTTTTTTTTAAATTTTCAAAACTGATAAAATCATCAAAACATTTTTAATTTTTGGAATCTTCATTCAGTTATTTTTTTTCTTTTAGAGTTTCACAGTTCCATAATATTCATATGCAAGGCTTTCTGACAAGCATTTCAGGAATCGTAACGTTTTCATTTTATTGGAAAATTTATGGCTTGCAAATTTTCTGATGAAAATTAAAAAAAAGATATTTTTGTCTTTTAATTAGTGAAAAATTTAAAGAGAAAATTTTCAAACTATAGGAAGATTTACATATTTTGATTTGCGTGACCTAAAAGCTGTTGTTTTTTCAAATTTTCAAAATTGCTAAAATTCTCATCAAAATTTTTAATTTTTAAAATCTTCATTGAAGACTTTCATAATTCCATAATATTCATTAAGCAAGGTTTTCTAATATATATAATTTCAGGAATCTTAAGAATTTCAAAATTTTCATGGAAACAAAAAAACTTCGTTTTGTGAGCAACACAAAGTTCAAATTTGATGAAAAGTTTAACATACAAGGTTTGAAATTTTTTTTAATTTTCATAATTATGACTCTTAAATTTTTTGAAATTTCTATAGTGATTCTTAAAAAAAATCATATTTTCGTAATATTTGTCTTCATTATCATAACTTATAATTTTTTTCTCAAATTGCCTCTTGAAATTAAAAAAAAAAACTATTTTATTAGCCTTTTAATCAGGATAAATGTAAAATCTGAAGTGAATTTTGAATTTAATAAATTCCCAAAATACATGAATATCTGCATATTTTCCACTTCATAGCCTAAGCACTGTTGTCATATTTTCAAAATTTTCGAATTTCCCATAAGATTTTCATTCAATTTAGACCTAAGTCTTTATAATTTTGTCACTTTAGAGGTTCACAATTTCATAAAATTCACGTGAAGGTTTTCTGATAAATATTCCAGGAGTATATTAAGATATTCTAAATTTTCATCGAAAATCAAAAAGTGTTTTCTTCCAACTTTTACAAGGTTTAGTTTTCAAAATTGATTCTTCAAATTTTTCAAATTTTATAACAATCGTGTTCGATATCATAAATTTTGTGCATAACAACATGTTTGCCCTTTAATTAAATTAGCGCTACTATAAAATCTGAAGACAATTTTAAACTTTAATAAGAGTTTTCCAAATGTCTGAATATTTGCAGATTTTAATTTTTTTTTTAATTTGGAAACAAATTTTCAGATTTTCAAAATTTTTATATCCATTATAATGTAACAAAGTTTCGTATTTTTGGAATATTCGTCTTCATTATTATCGAAATATTTTGAGAAATTTATGATTTATATTTTTTTATGAAACAAAAAACACTTTTTGCTTTTTGATCAGTGGTTAGTGCAAATTTTAAATCTGAACACGATTTTCAATGTTTATCAGTTTACTGACTTCATCTGTATTTTTTCCCATGTTTTCAAAATTATCGAAATTTTCAAAAATAAGTATAAATTTTTTTTAAATCTTTAAAATTATTCCAAACTAATAAGATTTTCTTTGGCATTCGAGGTGTTAACATTCCATAATTTTCATATATATTGAACGAAGGTAACGATGAATTCGAGAGTTTAAAAAATTTCAAAATTTGCGAAGAAAAAATCACCAAAAATTACTTTTATCATATTTTCAAAATCGTCGAAATTTTCAAAAATATTTCAATTGTTAAAATCTTCTTTGAAAATAAGCCAAAATGATCAAATTTTCTCTGATTTTTGAGTTTCAAAATTCCGTAACACTCCTAAGTTAACAAAAATAAAAATGTGTTTTCTTCCAACTTTTTTTACAAGGTTTAGTTTTCAAGATTGATTCTTCAAATTTTTTAAACTTTAAAAATGCACGCCGAAATGTAAGAAATTTTCAGATTTTATAATTGTAACATTCGTGTTCGATGTCATAAATTTTGTACACAAAAAACATTTTTTGCGCTTTAATTAGCGCTACTTTAAAATTTGAAGATAATTTTAAACTTTAATAAGAGTTTTCCAAATGCCTGAATATTTGTACATTTTATTTATTTATTTTTTTAATTTGGAAACAAATTTTCAGATTCTCAAAATTTTCATAGAAAGTAAAAAAAATGTTCGTTAAACCTACACTATATCTATTAGAATGTAACAAAGTTTCGTATTTTTGGAATATTCGTGTTCATTATTATCTAAAAATTTTGGGAAATTTATGCTTTATATTTTTTTTATGAAACAAAAAACACTTTTTGCTTTTTGATCAATGGTCAGTGCAAATCTTAAATCTGAACAAGATTTTCAATGTTTGCAAGTTTACTGACTTCATCTGTATTTTGTCCCATGTTTTCGGAATTTTCAAAAATATATATATTTTTTTTAATCTACGTTAAAATTACTCCAATCTAATAAGAATTTCTTTGGTATTCGAGGTTTAACATTCCATAATTTTCATATGTACTGCCTTGCAAGGTAACGATGAATTCGAGAGTTTAAAAAAATCACAATTTTCGAAGAAAAAAAAAACGCCAAAAATTACCTTCTTCATATTTTCAAAATCGTCGAAATTTTCAAAAATATTTCAATTGTTAAAATCTTCTTTGAAAATACGCCAAAATGATCTAATTTTCTCTGATTTTTGAGTTTCAAAATTCCGTAACACTCCTAAATTAACAAAAAATTCGGGAAAATTTCAAAAATTACAAAAAATTACATCGGAATTTTGAAAAACATTAAGATTTAAAAATTTTTTCAAAGATCCGCCCCATTATTTAGATTTTCTTTAGTTATAGAGTTTCAAATTTCAGTAGTGTTCATATGCATTATCTAGTAAGATAACCACTTTGGGGTTTTAAAATTTTCAAAATATTCTTTGAAAATGTAAAAAAGCCCTTCCTTTTGAATTCTGAGAACAACTTTGGTTTTTGTTTCATAAAGACTTCCTACACAAGAAAAATTGGTCGAAGGTTATGTCGACAGAACTTCCCTCGCTATGGAATTTTTTTATACTTTAGAGGTCATGACACGTCGCGAAAAGTTCCGCCTATGGACTCGATCACCATACTTCCTTGGCTTACGCTCGGACATTATTTCTACATTTTTTATAATTAATATTGCACGTGTACAACGTGTCGGAATTGACATACGTGTCTCTGCTGAAATATTAATCCAATGGGAAAACTCACTAGAAATATTGTGATTTTTCAAAGACAGTTTTCAATTTTAATCACCTGGGTAAATAATGTTGGGTTTTTAATAGGGCTATATTAAATGCATAAAGGACAAATTTCTAGCTATTTTACTTAACCTTAAGTTAAGTTTCTGTAAAATATGAAATCTCCAACTCTAAACATGGTTGAACTATGAATTCTCAAATATGACCGTTCTTCTCACAAAAATGAAAATATTTGGAAAATTGCTGATGAAAAACGCTGTACTCTGAAAAAATATATAGGACATTTCATTAAATAAAAAACTTTTATATCAAATCTTTAAAATTCTGAAAAATTTAAGATCTTTTTTAATAGTATATTTTTTAATAGTATATTATAAATGCGTCATTTTCTGTTAATAAACTGTTCGCGCATCCTGTAAAACCCAAGAAGCCCAAATTATCATTACTCCTCCTTCTAAATAAATTCCATCAAACTACATATAATTGATCTGATTACCTGTAAGTACGTCCCTGCTGCTCACGATCTCCTTCAGCTCGTGCGTGACCTCCTTCATCAACCACGGCATGAACGACTCGTCAACATCTAAAATTAAGGACAAATACACATAATCTATCATCAAACTTTGAAACTTTCCCCATTAGTTATACCTTGTCTGATGTTGCACACAAGGAACCCTTCGTCCTCCAGTCCCTCCAAAACGGACGGAAGCAAATCGGCAATATAACCCTGCATCAAAACGGACGCCGCTATTCTTTCTTCCATTTCTTTCTGCAACCTCACTCCTTCTTCGTACTCTTTCATTCTCCTCTCCTTCTCCTTCTCCAATCGCTTTTCCCGTTCTTCCAGCCGCTGCGTCTCAGCTGTCTCCACAGACCTGATCTCCAAGAACCGCCTCTGCTGTTCCCTCAAAGCCGCCAATTCTTCTTCTTCCAACACTTCGATCAAGGCTTGTTCGATCGTCTTCCCGACGAGGACTTCCAGGATCGGCGTTACTTCCATGTCGAAGTCGAAGAGCTGTTATATCAAAAATTATTTATTCATCAAAGAATAAGATAATCCAGAACTTACATCCCCTGGATCAATCTGCGTCGTCGCATCGATTCCGATTTTTGCAGGGACGTAATAAGGAGACAGAGGCCGCTCGTACAGCAGTTCCGTCTGCGTGCAGATATCCGACGTCGGCGGATTCTCGAAGATCTCCTCCAGGTACTGTTCCGTCTGGACCGGTTCGTGTTTTCTCCCTGGCACCGGGGGCGGCGACCCGAGACGCAGTTGGGCGGCTCTGACTTGTTGGTTCTTGGCTTTCCTGCGGGCGAGGGCTCGCCGCCTCGCTTCCGCCGCCCGAGCCGCCGCTGACTCGCCGTCCCCCTAAACGGACGGATTGTTTTAATGATGGGTGACTCGTTCTATTTTTAAGTGGTGTGGCGGGTATAGATCGAACAGAAGCGATGGGTTTGTGGGGATTTTCCTAAAGCTGTGGAGGCGGGGCGGCGGCGGTTTTTATTTACAGTGGACAGTAGAATGTCGATTAGTTGGGTTGATGATGGTAATGTTGTCTTGGAGGAGTTTATTGTGGGGTTTGATGTGTGTGAAGAGTTTAAAGTAGCGACTGGGCAGCCATTAAAGTAGTTGTCATAATGGAAGGGAAATCGATAGTGGTGGATATTTACAAAAGCATAAACGATAATATTTTAGGAAAAATTGATGTTTTGACAAAATTTTCTTGTTGATCGTGGACTATTTATAGGAACTGGTAGAAGCCACTATAAAACTAAAGACACTAAAGTTGAATTATGTTAACATTTAACAAAAAAGAAGTAATCTAATAGTATTAAATTACAAATTGTATTAAAATAAAATTTTATAAACTACAAGTTACAAAGCTCATAATCAAAAATTATAGACCTTCTGTCTAAGCTTGGAAGTCGGCAAACGATGAACAGGGGTCGATTCGCCTTAATTTGTAACGATTTTAGCTGAGATGGGTATAAGAGTGACGTCCAGTAAAACAATATTAACTTGTGTTTTTAGATCGGTATACATCATGAAATTATTTTCTGTCAGAATTTGGTCGAGTAAATACAATTAGTACAACCCTGAAATTTACGCAGATTTTATTTAAATAACCCAAATATATTTTGTTACATCAACGACTAACGCACTTTAAAAAAACTTAATTTGACTAAAATTATTTTGACAGAACTTTCGTGGCTTTTGAAACACAAATTTTGAATTAATTTTACAGTTTAATAAAGGTTTATTGATCAATGTTTCAGGAAGACAAACATTTATTTTTACTATATTATTTTGTTCTGTGAGTTGAAAAACAGCTTTTTCAAAAAATTATAAACTTTTTTATAAAGAAGCGTGCTAAGCGTATGTTTCAAATGAGTTTTCCTTTTAGTAAATTTTTTCATGAGGTTATCAACATTTTTGCAAGGATATGTATATCAATTTGGGTAGGTGTAATGTAATATTTTTAATAATAACAATATTTCCAAATTTTCAGCAAAATGGAATTTCTCATTTAATTAATAAAATTTTCATTAATTTTGTGGGTCACCCTGTATAAGCAATTCTAAAAAATATTAATGTAATGATAAATCACAAGTATAGAGTCATCATATTTTGCAAGACTTCAGAGCGTTCAGTTTTACAGTTTCATCAGAATTAAATTGTAAAATGTTATTATACAATTTTGATTTTTTTTTCAAAACTCTTGAAATCTCGGGTAAAAAACGAACACGCATTCATAAACTACACGTGTAGGACTATTATGTTATTTTATACAATTTAAAACCCATTTACAATGTACAGTTTTTGTGAGAATGATTATCGTTTTACCAGCTACATGATGTTTATATTGCACATATAAAATATGACAACGATTGGTCCAGTAGTTTCAGAGATAATCTGTTTAATAAAAATTGACACAGACGATGGACAGACAGACAGACAGAGAGACGGATGTTTTTGTACTCTGGGGGTCATAAAGCATAGAGAAAATCTAAAAGTAACCGGCGTAATTAAATGTAAAATCAAAAAAATTAGACAGAACTTCCCTGGCCCCTTAAATACAGGCAAAAAAATACAGATTCTTTGAAAGTAATAAAATTTAATGTTGCAAATTTAATTTTTTGTTATTATAACAACTATAATTTAAATCAAGATATGCGTGGACTGTTGAAGTATAGCTAAAGAGCATGCTTTGTGCATTTTTCAAGTGAGTTTTTCCATAAGAAAATTTTATAATGACACTTTATCAAAGACCATAAATCCATTTTAATAGTTGCAATGTAATACTGTTATTGGTATACAGAACTGTATACACAAATTTTCGAGAAAATGGAGTCGTTCAATAAAATAAATTTCCTCATTCATTAGTTTTTTCAGTCACCCTCTATATCTAATTCTTAAAAATATGAATGTATTCATAAAACATACGTATATTTTTTATGACGTCATCAATTTTTTGGGAAGAGATAAACAGATAAATTTCGATTAACGATTCATAATTCTTATGATAATCTTACAATGTTTGTAATATTTTACAAAATTCGCATTAACGGTTTGAAAGTTGTTATACAATTTTCATTTTAGCATCTACATGATATTCCTAACATACATATAAAATCGGACGACAATCGGTCCAGTAGTTTCATAAATTATCTGTCCAATAAAAATTGACACAGACAGAAACGCAAAATCACGTTTTTACAGTCTAGCGGTTTGAAATGTCGAGAAAACATGAAAATGGAAAATCACAAATACAAAAAATTGGTCGAAGATTATTTCAACAGGGCTTCCATCGCACTTCTCTGAAAAATCATCTTTTTTTGCGATTTTTGTTTTCTGATAATCTCTATAAAGTAAAAAGCAGTGGCGTAAATAATGCTCTCACAGCTGATTTGACTTGAATTTTTCCTTCAATTTTTTATTCATTTTTTCAAGTTTTCAATTTTGAATTTTTCCGTTTGTAGTTTTTCTTTTCAATTTTTTATTTTCTTTATTTTTACAATTTTCAATGTTCCGATTTTGTAATTTCTTGTTTTTATCACGCTTTTATTAGCTTGGGTTGTATGTATCTATGTATGTATGTATGTAACGGAATCTTTGAGCTTAATTTTCATCGGTTTCTAAAAGTCTGATCATCTTGAAACTTTGCACACGTCTCAAGGATCGATGACAATGCAATAATTTGATAACAGTTTCCCATTATCCTTATTAGGACCGCCAGGATCCTCGATCCTACGGAGACCACTGAGTGGTTCTTTCTAGAAAAATCTAAATAAGTAATTAATTCCCCAATTTATGAATTTGTCGCAGACTAAAAAATGAAAAATAAATAATAGTTTAAAAAACTAAAAAAACACGCTTTTATTGCTAATCGAACTAAAAACTAGAAAATAATTTTTAATGACAGAGTTTAATATTACAGTAGTAGAAGATCAAACAATCAATCATAATAAATCACCTCAAATTAAAATTATAATAAAATTTAAGTTATTAACAGAAAAATTCAATTCAGAGTAAAAAGCGTGGGGTGCATTTTACTGCGGTTCATAACCATCCTCTCATAGATAGTTGCCAATAGAATGATTGTAATATTTAAAATATCAAGCACCCCACGCTTTTTACTCTGAATTGAATTATTCTGTTAATAACTTAAATTTTATTATAATTTTAATTTGAGGTGATTTATTATGATTGATTGTTTGATCTTCTACTACTGTAATATTAAACTCTGTCATTAAAAATTATTTTCTAGTTTTTAGTTCGATTAGCAATAAAAGCGTGTTTTTTTAGTTTTTTAAACTATTATTTATTTCAATTTCACTTTTTTACAATTTATCGTTTCGTCAGTTTTTCATTTTGCAGTTGTTCAATTTTTCGTTTTTTTTTTTAATTTTACGATATCTTTTAATGTTATCATTTTTAAATTTTCCAGTTTTCCGATTTTCCAACTTCTGAACGTTTGAATTTTCAGATTTTGCAATTTTTGGATTTGAAATTTCACGAGTTTTCAATTTTAATTTTGAATTTTTAGATTTTTCAGTCTTTCATTTCTTCAGTTTTTCGAAAAAAACCTGCCAAAATTATTGAATAATAGAGTGACTTTATGTTTTTTATGATAATATCTCTCGTTCTTTGCGCCAAAAATTTGTTGAAAGAAGACTACGTATATAAAAAAAAAACAAAAATTAAGCCCCACCCACCCGCCCCAATCTCAATTGTGATTAGTTTCATATGGTAATTTCTTGTAGAGAAATGAGGATTTTGCAAGGAAATTCCGCCCTTCAGTTCACGATGAATAAAACATTCATCACAATTGAAAAGGGGTGGGTGGGCGGGGCTTATATTTTGTCCATTTTTCTTAATATACGAAGTCTTGTTTTCCCAACAAGAAACTATTGAAAGAAAGCTCTATATATTAAAAAAAAACAAAAATAAAAATAAATACACTTTTGTGTGATTTATTCACAACAAGCTTTACACGCACATGCATAAAGTTAAAAAGTACATTACTAGGGCACAAATACTAAACTAGGGTTAATAATGCTACTTTGGGTATTTAAATAGGATTAAACAGGCCACATGCTGTAAGATAGACGGAAATGGGAGACCTACTTTTACATCGACAAAACACAAATTTGGTTATTTATCAAATCGATCAAATCGATCTTGTTACATTATTGAGTTTAAAGCCAACTTTTTTCCTTTTTTACGAGTGGAAGAAAGTTGAAATCTGTAGTCAAAATAATTTGACAATAATCCAAAAATACCACGAAAGCTATAATTTGTATTTTCTCAATATTATAAAAATCAACAGTAATAACCAAAAACGTTGACTTTTTCTAATTTGGGTAGCGCATCTAAATAAAGTACCTACTTCTTTAACTTCTCAAGTGTAAGCTAATTGTTGCCAAATTTTATACGTATCGTGTACGTGGTAAAACGCTAAGCAAAATTTGTTTGAACACACCGGTCCCACCAACAATTTGATGACGTCATTTAAAAATTTTGCATGGTAAATGCTATTAAACTTTATAAAATAAGGCATCCCGAGTTTCGCAAATAAATCAAAATTTAATAATAACAATATTTTGTACTAATATAAGAAGAACTTTCAGCAAGCGCTCAGATCTCACTTGTTACCATGAAACAAACATGTCTATAGGGGGATACAAATTACAGTTCATAACAGTTAAAGCAAAAAGCCGCATTTCGTAGCCCACTACAACCTGAAAAGTTTTCGAGCACACGGTACTCCTTGACATGAATAACTCAATTTCGCTTAATTTAAGATATATACGTAATATACATACGTATTATACTCGTATATGGATTTTTGTATGTAATGGGAGAAT